TTTTTTTTTTTTTTTTTGGTACCAGGGATTGAACTCAGGACCTTGCACTTGCAAGGCAGGTGCGTGCCACTGAGTTAAATCCCCAGCCCCCATCTTAGGCTTTCTTAATTGCAGTGAGTAATAAGAAAAGGAATTCTGAGTAGGGGGGGCTATTGGGTTGAATCAAGGAAGTTTAACTATAAAGGATACTGTTAATTTGCAACTAAAGATAGCTTTTCACTCTTTAGGGTCTGGTGGTTCCTGTCATAAGGAATGTGGAAACTATGAATTATGCAGATATTGAACAAACCATCAGTGAACTGGGAGAGAAGGTAAAGTAGAAAGAAGCATGTGTATGAGCTGCTGGGCTGAAGAGAGACTGCAGAAGGCTGGGCTCACCGGTTAGGAGTATTCAGGGAGCTGTAGTCTCACTTGTTTCTAAGTTTCTAGCTGTCAAGAAAGGCAGTAGCCTGTAAGAGCAAAGTACAGACATTCCACATAGCCTAACATCCTCGGGTGACTGAAATCTTATCAGAGGAGACTTGTTTGCAGAAGAAAGGTGGTCTGGAGTCATGGCTCTTCTCCGTAGAGCACTAGTTAACAGTCTCCTTAGCTGAGTAACTGCCACGTGGAAGCTGGAGCTATAACTTATGTATCAAATACAGCTTTCTGGACTTTTCTTTGGGTGAAAGAATTTGGGTTAGCTTAAATGTTTTAATTACTAAATTTCTGTATTTAGGCCCGAAAGAATGAACTTGCCATTGAAGATATGGATGGTGGTACTTTTACCATTAGCAATGGAGGCGTGTTTGGCTCAGTCTTCGGAACACCTATCATCAACCCCCCTCAGTCTGCCATCCTTGGCATGCATGCCATTTTTGACAGGCCAGTGGCTGTGGGGGGCAAGGTAGGAACTCTCACTTCTAAGGTCCTAATAGCTAGCTGATGATAAGGAATAGAAATTATTATTATTGGTAGTCATTATAATTTCAAGCTTAAGTTATATATCTTAGTTTCTAATTAGTAGCTAAGATACTGATTCTGAAATTGTTGTCTGTGGATCACCATCATCTGGGAACTTGTTAGGCAAGTTCTTGGACCCTTTCCCAAAGCTACAGAAGCAGATGTGTAGACAGTTTTGATATGCCTTAAAAGTTTGAGAACCATGGACCTGAAGAGGCTCACTCCTTCACCTGGGACTAGTCAGTATGCTTCATTGCCAACTAGGGTCTGAGGGATAGAGTTAGAAATGTAGTCCTTGCTCTTGGGAATCAGGCCAAGAAAGCACAGCAGTTTATGAACTTCAGAGTTGTATAGTCAGGCTTAGAAGTTTTCTGGCAGTTCAAGGAATGAGGTCGAAGGGGCTTCAACTGGTTCTAAAAAGATAGGTTGGTAGCTAGGCATGGTGGTGCATGCCTGTAATCCCAGCACTCAGGAGTCTGAGGCAGGAGGATCATGGCAAGTTCAAGGCCAGCCTGGGCTACAGAGTTCAAGACTATCTAACAGTTCAAGACTAAAAAACAGATTACTAGGAAAAAAGTTTTCGAGACATGTGTATTTGGAAGCATTTTGGATCACTGACTTCTTTATGAACCCCAAAACCCTAGATCTTGTCCCTTAAAAGTGGTCACACACCCAGCTTTGCATACAAGGTCAGAATTTGTGGGACCTCCAAATTTATTTCTTGCAGTTTAACTCTTAAGGTGGAGGTGTGGCTCAGTGCTAGCATGCTTGTCTAGCATGCACAAGTCTCTGGGTTTGAGTCTCAGCTCTGCAAAAGTAAATAAGGTGTAACTTGAAAGCACTTATTGCAAGCAGTTGGAATTGAAGAGAAAACCTTTTCTGTAGATAACAGATAAGTTGGAGGACAGAAGTTTTTTCTTGTTTAAACTTTTTCTGAGTAGGGGAAGTTTGCACTAAAGGTGAAGGTTGGTCTTTGGAATTATCTTAGGTGCAGAAGTAACACTAGGAAAGGCTCTGGAACCAGGAGCTTTCCTATAGGCTATGCATTCTCATCTCCCTCCCCTAGCCGGGTTTCCCTGCCCTCCTGGAGACAGACCTTTTAACCTCTCCTCTCTGCAGGTGGAGGTGCGGCCTATGATGTACGTGGCACTGACCTATGATCACCGGCTGATTGATGGCAGAGAGGCTGTGACTTTCCTCCGCAAAATCAAGGCAGCAGTAGAGGATCCCAGAGTCCTCCTCCTGGACCTTTAGGAGGCCATATGTCCTACAAATCATGCAGCAACTGAAAAACAGACTTCTCCCTGTCCCCCATGGGTCCCAAGTTAGCCTGGTGACAGGCAGGCACATGCTATTGGCCTCAAGCAAGGAAGCCAGGGCACTATGTAACCAGCAGTCATAAGTCTTCTCTTGTTATCCCTTCCAGGTTCTCTCACTCTTAAATCCTCTCTTGCCTTCCAGTATCTTATTTGCTTAGGCTTGAGAGAGAACCTTAATGGATGCTCATTAGTATTCATGCTTTTCTTTCATTAGCCCTCTGCAAAAAATGATTTTGCTTCTCCCCATTGCCAGTATGCCATAGGGAAACCACTGGGGACCATATGACAGTTTCCATCTTTGGAAAGTGTTCTCCAGAGATGTCTAGGGAGGGTACTGTGCCTCCCAAGCTCACAGCAGCATCTTTTCCGGCTATACACATTCTCACTTGATGCCACCTGTGTGGAGGTATTGAACACAGGTGAAGAGGTGCTGCTTTGCTTCTTAAATGGCTCCATTTTCCGTTGTTAGTGACTTCAAGATGCCTCTTCTACCTCTTCCAGGAAGCACAGGCCAGGGGAACTGGGGGTGGGGGAATGCTCAGTGGGAGGAGAGGGTGCCTGTGAGGTCATATTGTGATCATAGATGGGAGCAGAACCCAGGCCTGCCCCCCATTCTCACGTCATTGGCTCACACCAGGAAGACTCATTTTGGCATACTCATACATAACTGTGGTTACGCCAACCCTTCTAGGCTGCTAGGAGCTGTTCTAGTACATTTTTGTTTACAGCAGAAGCTAGCACATCGAGGCAGTGGAGGGGAGTCTGGTCACAGTGATGTTGAGTCTGGGAGTGGGGGCATCTGTGACCAGCTCAGATTGACCTGAGCTGAAAAGTTCAAGTTGTAAACCAATTTGTAGACTGAGATGTTCTCTTTTTTCCTCATGTGGCCTGCAAGGACACAGGTCTAGGGGAGGATGAATGTGGTGGGAACCAGCCCCAAGGTGTCAGTGCCCGGTGGTGAAGTGGCTGTCATCTCAGTTGCTGCACTTTGGGTCTGGGCAGTCATTGGAATTCCTTGGAGTATGGTTGAATGCAAGTATCGTGTCATGGAAGCTGCTGGGCTTTATGGCTTTGTATCTGCTGCATCCAGGCCTGAGACTGCTGGCATTTGACATGGAGCCATTAGTGCAGGGCCCTTTTTAATCTTGAGCCAAGAGGCAAGGCTGGGGGGAGGGGAGCGGGAAGAGCCAGTACTGAGTGCCTGCAGCATCTGCTACTCTGTCTTCACCATGCAGAGCTTGTAACTAAAATATTTAAAGAAACTGATTTTGAATGAAAATTAAAGGGCAAATATTCTCAAACAGGGTTCCTGCATCTGTGCTCTTTTTGGTTACTGAGGTACAAGTGTCCACTGCTGTACCAATGAGTGTCATTAGCTTTGAAAGCCACTTAATGCCCTGTGGGCTATCCTGTGGAGTCCTGTGCTTTTGATGTTACCACTGTAGTAATACAACAGAAGGTGGAACCCTCTCTGCCATCTGAGAAAGTATGCTTTTCTCTTAAGACCCCAGATTTCTGTTGGGGAACCCCATGAGCCAAGAATCAGACTAGAAAGGAAGACTGGTTTTACCAAGTCCCCTCAGAATGCCACCAGACAGCTTTCCTTTTGTGGGGGCTTGCATTACTTTTGGGATGGAGAGATGGGACATCTCAAAATTTCACTTGGGTCTGATCATGTGTGTACCAAAGTGCTCCAGGTCAGTATAAACAAATGAGGGTCATCTATGAGCAGGAATGTGTGAGGGTCAGTGGACAACACTGGTAGCTAACCTAGACTGACTGCAGGTGACAGGCATGGTAATGGTCCAACTCTAACTGCAGCCTGTATTTCCAGAGTCCTTGTCTGCTGATTGGCTTAACATGAGCCCATCCTATGGAGAAGAAAGAAGGTCCTAGAGAGTGAAACTATAGCTTGTAAATAGGGGGAAAAGAAACAAATGGGGCTTGTAAAAGAATTTTAGAATGTCTATCAGGTCTAGGCCTTGGTGTCAAAGCTTTAATTTTCTAGTAAACCTGTAAGGCAGCCCCATTTTCTTTTCTTTTTTTTTTAGCTCCATTTTCTTGAAAGGTCAGCCTAAGCCTGTTAGGGCTGGGACAACAGTATTCTAAATGGAAGGCCTAATAGAGCCATATGTACTGCATGTGTTACCTGGATGATGCCCAGAAGTGTCTTGCACTTCTGGTTGGAAGTGGCCTGGCCTGACTTGGGAGTGTAACAGCAGGAGGAAAAGATAGGAGGCTGGCTCTAATAGGCACTGAGTAGGCTGTTAGGGGCTCAATTTTCTCAGGAGCTACCACCTTCCAAGGAGTCCCTGAAGATTAAACTAGTGCCCCACCTAGGCACCATGACTTCCTGCTTTTTTTTTTCCTGGTACCAGGATCAAACTCAGGACCTTGTGCTTTTGAGGCACTGGGCCCTTTTTGTTTTATTTTTTTTTATTAATTTATTAATTTTATTGAGTTTATTGGTACATTTTAGGGATACAGTATAGTTACATTCATTGTTGGGATCATGTACCTCTACATGGGGCTTTTTGTTTTATTTTTTTTTATTAATTTATTAATTTTATTGAGTTTATTGGTACATTTTAGGGATACAGTATAGTTACATTCATTGTTGGGATCATGTACCTCTACATGGGGCTTTTTGTTTTATTTTTTGAGGCAAGTTCTCACCCTATACCTCTGCGTTAGCCTCCCAAATGCTGGGATTATAGGCATGTGCCATCACCCCTACCTACTTCCTCTTCTCATAGAGCCCGGTACCCCCAATACCACCATTTATTTCCCCTGAGGCTGCTCTGTAGGGGCACAGACTACTTGTTTTTGGTACTGGGGATCGAACTCGAGTCCTTGCGCTTGCTAGGCAGGCAGCAACGGGACCACTGTGCTACATCCCCGGCCCTACAAACTACTTTCTAACAAGCCCCAAGCCCACTCTTGAACACACCTAGGGGAGCTTTGAATCTCGACCTTCTGGCTGGTGACACTGCATTAATGATGCAAGGACACCACTGAAGAACAGGTTTTATTGGGGAATGGGGAAACCCCAGGGACAGCCAAAACAGACCAGAGGGAGTTGGCCTTAGACTATGCTTTCCCCTGTCCTCTGCTCACAGTTGGTCTCTTGGGACACAAGTCTGGGAGAGCTGGGCTTTCAGAGCCTGACTCAAACCTGTCACAGAGGCTCCACCTTGGTGGTGTTGGAGACTGAGGAAGGAGCTGGGGGCAGAGGAGTAGTGAAGTTTGTCTCAATGCCACACCACAATGATAGATGAGTCCTGGGGAGAAGTTGTCTTTGAGGTACCCAATTATCCCAGTTCTTTAGAGACTAGAAGCATCTTGCTTCTAATTCAAAGTGTAAGTAATTGTTCCATGTTTTGTCATGTCATTCGGAAAGAGGGTGAGGTCACAGTGGTCAGTGAATTGAGTAGAACCTTGAGACCCAAATGCAGAAAGGTGAAGAGATCTGAGAGGGAAATCCTAATCAGCATGACCTGCCTTAGCTCCTTCAGCCAGTGGGCCAGGTTCTCCTGACACAGATGGGCTAGCTGAGGAAGGAAGCTCTATATTCTCTTCACACTTGCTCTCAGTGGCAAAATTGTGCCTTTCTTCCCCCCTCCCCTTTTTTGCTCTCTAAAGTCTGAATTTTTAAGATAGGGGTTCTGGGCAGGAGTGGAGAGTGCATCATCTCTCCCCCACCCACCCCACTCTCCAGATTTGTCCCTGGGGGACAGCCTCTGGTGCAAACAGGCCACTCGTCACAACTAGGCCAGGACAGCCCTGGTTTGGGTCCACTGAGCTAGTGGATCAGTCTCCTGAGACCAGTCTCCAGAGATGTCCAAAGTGGGGCACAGCGTGGCAGTGAATGTGTCACAAAACCTTGAGGTAGGCTCAGCAGGTGGTCAGTTCAGAGCTAGTGCGACAGAAAGCGGTACCCTTGAATGTGGTAGGTCTGTAGGAGTTAACTAGGTACATCCTCAATGGGTGTCTTATCTGTTGTCATGGGTGGAAAGGGTGAGCCTTGCTGTCCTTCCCTTGTAGCTTTTCCTCTTGGAACAGTGGCAGTAATTGCTTCTGAGGCCCGAATGGAGCTGAGCAGGAAAGGCCTGAAGCTCACTGATCAGAGGGACCAGCCGTGGGTAATAGGAGGCGGAGACCCAGAACAGGCCAGTGGTTTTCCATTGCCCACTCTGCCCCTCTTACCCCACCAGTCTGCTCCACTGGATGGTACTGAAAAAGGGGTGGGACTTGAGTTTGCTGACGCCACCTCCTCTGGCCCCCAGGCGCCTCACAGGATCAAACTGCAGCAGCTGCAGGGAGAGGTAGGTCAGCTCCCTGGCAGGCCTTCGCCATCCCCACTGCAGCAGCAGGGGCCCACCTACAGGGGCTCCACTCACAGGGGCCCTGGGGGGCTCTCCCCCAAACAGCTCACAAACCCATTTTCCCTGGGAGGACATTGGTGGTTGCTACTGAATTATAGAAACCCTTTGACACCCACTCAGCACCTACAGCTCACAAACATGGTTATGGAGAGTCTGTCCATCCCTGGTCCTCTCGCCCCCACCCATAGGCCAAGAAGTCGCCTTTAAGCCAGGCTGTACCTCACCTCAGTCAGCAGGGAGGCTGCTGGGTAACTAAGCTCCTCCGGCAGCTGGAGCTGGGTATGGGCCTGGAATCCTGAACGGTGGCTCTGGGACAGTGCCTGGGAGGACACAAGAAGGAACTTTGAGGAGGCAACCCCAGGAAGGTCTACACTCCTGGTGTAGCCAAAAGTGTTTCTCTGCACTTGAGTCACATTCCACAGGCATGATGGTGATGTGGCTACCTTTGCTTAGGATCCGTTGCGTACCAGACATGCTAGATCCCTGACATCTACTAAAAACAAGCAGCCTCCGAGGAAAGGGGCTTGTGCTGAGTTCAGGGTTTGAACCAAGGTCCCTCTGGCTGCAATGCAAGCTTGTTAGAAGCATGGATCTTAGGTTTTTTGATCAGGGAACAGCACTGAAATTTGTCTCCTTACAGAAAAGCCTCTGAGGGCTGCTATTCATTTGACATTGGCCGTGGTGTGTTGCCCCTGTGCCAACAGAAGTAAGACCATTCCACACCCACAGATGCAGCTTGGCAGAGCAGAGGGTCTGTCTGAGGGCAAGGAAGTCAGTAGCCTTGGGCAGCGGAGGTTCTGAGAGACCAGGAAAGCCATGCAGGGGGTTACTTTTAGCCAGGTCTCTGAGGGCCTGGGAGATAGGACAAAAGTAGGAGGGAACAAGGAGGGACTGGTAAGACCTGGACATCAGGTCACACCTCATACATCCTGCAATTTAGCCAGGCTCTTGCTTCCCAGCCTAACTGGGTCCAGATGCAGCACTGAGCCCATGCAGGAGCCAGAGATCAGAACTGTCCTGAGGAAGAAGGTGTGCAGGGGAAGCAGGAGCTCTGGGCAGGGCAGTGGCGACTCTCCTTCAGCTAAGGTCTGGGGGTTACGGGTGGAGGATGAGCAGTGGGGAGAGGAGGTTAGGGGGATGACCTGGGGGACTTGCAAGGAAAGAGGGCTGTGTCAGATCCTACCCTGCCTAAACCTAGGCCCAGGTGCTCTCTTCTAGAAACCTTTCCCAACTATCCCAACTCTTACTTTCACAAAAGTTGAGTCGCATTAGCTATGGCCCTAGTGTGGTGGGGGTGCTGTGCCCATGGCCTGGTGGGAATGACTTCTGTATCTCTGATGCCTTGTGGCCTGTGTGCTGGCAGGACATCCACCCCAAGGACCAGGTCTTAGAGAAACAGGCAGTTTCTGCCCAGACACTATGCACTAAACCTTGCGTCCCGCACTCGGACACCCACCACGGCTCTACACCCTGCCCAGCTACTCACCATTCCTGTCAGCAGCTCATACAGTATCGAGCCAAAGCTCCACCAGTCACAGGCTTCAGTCAGCTCAGCGATCCCACCCACCTCTGCAGGAAGAACACACAGCCCTGCCTCACCCAAGAGGCCCCCTCCATTCTCCTCACCCTGTCAGACACGATCCATGCTGTCATGCTCAGCCCCCAGGCTCAACCTACACAAAGGCACCCAAGATCTAAGGTCCCCTTCTTGCCTGGGGCGCTGTATAGACGGTCCACAGCCTCCCTGCAGCACTGTGGCTCCACTTCTGACCACTGGCCAAAATATGTAAGCCGGATGTGACCTTCTCGTCCAGTGTGAGTAGAAAGAATGGGGGAGGGGAGTGTGTGAGGAGAGCATCACTGAGCAGCTGGCATGGGAGAGGCAGCTCCAGGGCTTCCCCTGACAGTGGCAGGGCAGAGCCAAGGGCTGTGTTGGCAGAATCTACCTAAGGGCGTGGCCGTGGGGGGCCCAAAGATCATGGGATGTTCCTTAGACACATGGGCAAAAGCAAGCTAGACACAGGTAGAGTCCTGTGTGAAAGGTCAGATGGAGGCAGGGGGAAGTGGCATGTAACATCAGAGGTCCCCTTGACCTGGGGGCCTCCCAGGCAGGGGCAGTGTGGTCAGGGTCCTACCTGCCTGGTCCAGGAGCAGGTTCCGGGGGTTGAGGTCCCGGCACAGTACCCCTTGCTCATGTAGCGCCTCCAGTGCCACCAGCATCTCAGCTGCCCACTGCTTCACCTGCTCCTCCCTCACACTCCAGACAGCCCCGCCACACACCACACTTGACCTGTCCACTGCTGGGGGGCTATGACCTCTGCCTTGGCCACAGCCCCCCAGTACCCGGCTGGCCCCCTCACGAACCCAAGGGAGCCCCTGGGGGAGCCCAGTGTCCGAGCTCTGGCCAGCCCGCCTGGCTTGCAGGTGCAATGGACCACTTGAGGCTTTTGTGAGGTCCGAGGAGCAGGAAGCACTGGTCCTGGATATGGATTCACATTCAGGCTTTCCCTGGGGCCTGAGGGACAGGGCCTCCCTGGCTGGGGTGGCTGGGGGAAGGCTCTGAGAAGTTCGAGGATGCTCCACAGGGATTCTTTCCCGCTTGAAGGTGTGGCCCTGGGGGAGCCGTGCTGGGGTCAGGAGGCCGAGGCAGGTGTCTAGCTGGGCCCTTGTCTTCTGAGTGGAGCCAGACCTGAGGCCAGAATGCTGGGGGTGCACCTGGGAGCGCAGGTGGGACCAGAGGGTGCCTCCTGGGCCAGGCAGAGGGAGCAAGCATGGGAAAAGAGAAGGGTATGTACACCAGGCCCGGCCCTGCTCTGACCTCCCTTCCATCTTGACATGGCTCCTCCGCCATCCAGGGGTCCTGCCTTGCTCAGTTTCCTCACCTTTCACCCTTCAACCTAAAACACCTACTTCCCTCCCCTCGACCCACCTACAGCCTGCACTCCACAGACGCTTAACCTCCATGGAGATGTGACGTATTTGGGAGGGGTTCACCAGTATTCAATATAATTGCTTTTTTGTTTTTCGTTTAGGGAGGATAGCATAACAAAACTTAAAGGCTGGGCATGGATCATACAATGACTGTATTCACAACCCAGGGATGTACCTCATTATGATCATAACTATCAGGGCCGGGGATTTAGCTCAGTGGTTCCACCACCTGCCTTGCAAGCACAAGGACCCGAGTTCGATCCCCGTACCAAAAATAAATAAATAATAATCATAACTCTCTGCTGTATGGCCCGCTTTTGGTCCTTATAGCTTTGGTTAATACCATTTTGTTGTATAGCCACTTTGAAGAGTGAACACAAGCCAGGAAAATGAAAAGAGCCGAAGACTAGAGGAAACGGTGACAAGGGAGACAGCTGTACAAATGCTCTCTTGTCTGCATAGGATGTAGACATCCCTGCTCCCTTGACACCACACAGAACCATGACAGCCTTTTCTTGCCACCAGCCTCCAGGAAGACTGGATCCCCAGTCTGCTATTTTCATCTGGTCCAAGCCATCCCCCTCCTCTGGGCTCAGCATTTTAAGGACAATACCCTAAAGGCTTGAGGAGCTGACAGCGAACCCCCAGGATCCCTTACCTTGCACATGCTCCAGATGCAAGAAGATGGAGTCTTCACTCACAAAGTACCGTAGCAGCTTCGTCATGTACGGGACCCCATGTGGGATGACAGTCAGCCGCTCCTGGCTTGCCACATGGCACCTGGGCAGGCTCTGGGAGGGGATGGGGCAAGCAGGTCAGCTGTGGCCAGGCCAGAGGCTGCCGCTGCGAGGGGACACCCTAGCTCTGGCTTCAGCTGCACCCAGATGAGAGGTGGGAGCCATTCCAAGGAGCAACTGCTTCTACCAGTTCTTGGCCTGGCTCTTTCCCCCATGGAATCCAGGTCCTCCACCCTCACAGACAAGGGGGAATTTGCATCGTGTATGTGTCTGTCTGTCCTGAAGGCGGGGGCTTAGAGTCAGAACAAGCAGCTTTTGGATATGGAGGGCACGTGGGTTCCATATGCACATTCTGGGGAAGGGGTTCCCTTGAGAAAGTCCCAAAGGGAATGCAGCATGGCAGGGGTAGGATGGCACCTGCCTTCAACACGAAGATCCCTCCAGTTGCTGGATCCTGCACCAGCTGCACCTGCCAAAGTAAGTCCAGATGGCAGGGGTCAAGGCACATGCGAGTTTCCTGGCTCTTCCACTAGGCTGAGTCACTCCTGGGCTAGGGCGGGGAGGCCAGAATCTGGTGGCCTCTGGAGTATAACCCTGGCCCCGAGCCAACATCTATCCTGTTCTGCTCCCTGCCCGTGTTAGACCTGTAGGTCTCAGCCCAGTGCTACTTCCTCCAGCTTCTGGGGCTCCAGTGCTCTCTGGACTCACCCTCAAGGGAGCCTTAACACAGTGGGTCGAATTTCCTGTGTCGTCCTGGACTGTGGGCTCCAGAAGAGCAGGGGCCATAAAGCCCAGACATATTCCCAGCCCTCTGTAGGAGGCACTTCACACATGCATGGCACCTGGCCCACAGCACCGATGATGGGGTTGGGGAACCCTCAATTCGCCTCCGTTCCCCTGCCCACACGTCCAGGTCCCACTGGCCCAAAGACAGAGAGAGATAAATCTACCTCTCACCCCAGACCTTGGCCAGGGCCCATAATCCTGCAGAGTCTGAGGGTGTCACATCCTCTGGTCCCTGTTTCACAAGTGAGGATGCTGAGGCTCTGAATTCAGATCTAGGTTGTGTGGGTTGAGCCTTGCACGGGCTTGGAACCCTGCTTTGAGTCTCTTCCCTCACCCCACCCTGCTGCATCCCCTTCTTTCTAAATAAAGTATTCTCTAAGCCAGTCGTGGTTATGTGACAGCTATTTGAGAGCTGAGGCAGAAGGATTGTTTGAGCCTAGGAGTTCAAGGCCAATCTGGACAATAGAGCAGAAACTGTCTCAATCAATCATCATCCCTTGGGGCCAGGGATTTAGCTCAGTGGTTCCACCGCCTGCCTTGCAAGGGCAAGGACCGGAGTTTGATCCCCGGTACCCAAAAAACAAACAAAAAATTATCATCCCTCTCTGGAGCTATCTTCGGGGAGCAGCCAACCACCTCCTTCTCATGCTGGTTTTGGTTACAGTCACTGCTCTGCCTGTTGCTGGGTTTGGTTTAAAGTTGGGCCCTTGACTCACTGGGGAAGGCAGGACTGGGCCCAGCTGTAGAAGGGGGTAAGGGAGGCATATGGATGTGTCAGGACAGGAAGGCACAGGATTCAGCCCAGATGCAGGGCATGTGAAAGCAAGACAGCATCCTGGTGTTTCTGGGGCCACCTGGCTGCAGGCCTGCCATGCAGTATAGGACTGGGGCAGAGAAAAGGGTACTGGGTTTAGAGCTTGGGTGAGTGGACTGATTTTCTTAACTACCAAACACGAATTATGTCATTGGTTTGTTCAGGCCACGAATGAGAGAGCCCCAGGTTAGTGTAGAGGTGATGAGGGTGGGAAGGCTATTCAAGTCATTCTTGGAACCCTGATTCTCTTCATTACAGAAAGGGGTCACAGCAATACCTCCTTCAGAGGGTCAGTGTGTGTGTGTGTATGTGTAAAGCAGATAACTCGAGAATAAACCCTCATCGTGCATAGCAATTACCACCAGTATCATTGTAGAAGGAGCCAATGTTGGCTATAAAGTGCTTTGTGCTAAGCAATTTACATAGGTCATTTTATTTCCACAACCCTACTCGTGAGAGTTACTAGAGACCCATTTTATTGATGAAGAAATTGAGGTTCAAAGGTGATAATGCCTACGTATGGTCCCACTGCTAAAAAGGGGGTAGTGAGGCTGAGCCTGGCCCACTTCCCTGCAACTGGGGGCACAACCAGGTGACCTTGGTGAGGGCCTCCCCTCTTGGCCTCGGTTCCCCATCATCCGTAAGAGGAAAGCCGTAGTGGACTGGATGATCACCTGGCCCTTCCAACCTCAAAAGGCAGGTGTTTCTCTCAACCACCAGAGGTCTCCCCTCCATCAGCCAGAGATGAACCCAGCCCGGTCCTGGCTCCTTGACCACATTTGAGAAATGTTTGAAAAGGGAAAGACAGAAAACCACGGGGTCGTTTCAGAGACCAGAGTTTCCCACAAGCCCTGACACCCCAGATAATTCCCCACCATCTGTTGCCAAATGGGATTCCCCACCACCTTGTCCTGAGCAGAACCTCTCATCTATAGTCCGAAAACCAGCTGTGGAAGGTTGGGGAAGCCAGAAATACAACTTGACCCCTACATCAAAAGAACTGTTTTAAAAATACATTAAAACCTAACTATTTACCTAGAAGGAATTAGACCTAAACACTGACAGTGATTATCCTGGAGTTAGCTATGGTGATGAGGTTTTTGTTTTCTTCAGTTTTAAACTCCTTTCTCTTCATTGTATCTCAAAAGGGCAGCAGAGAGGCATTTTCCCACTAATGCGACTAAACAAAAAAATCTTTTGCTTAGTTGCTGGGAGGACTGAACACTACCTAGTGCTTGACCTCCAGGAACCTCAGCTTCATTCTCTGTAAGACAATTATTAAAATGCAGCACCATTCAACAGAATTTTCTGTTCTTCTGTAGAAAAGATGTACTTGTGCATTGTCCTTCGCTTCATATGGCAATCACTTCTCAGGCTTTTGGCTAAGGTCAAGTGTAGCCTCATGTGGCTATTGAGCCCTTGAAATGTGGCTACAGAATACCATTTTTTTCTTTTTTGAGACAAGATCTCGCTACGTAGCTCAGGCTGGCCTCCAACTCACAGCAATCCTCCTGTCTCAGCCTCCTGAGTGCTGGGTTTACTGACACGCACCACCCTGCCCAGCTTCCACAGGATACTGTTTGCCTATTAAAGCAAACAGTCTTATGTGACTAGTAACAACTGTGTTGACAGCACAACCTAATGCTTCTTATCCCCACAGTGGCTGTGAGAACTTAATGCTTGATAAATGACAACATCCATCACTAACGTCAGGTGAGTCTTGTAACTTATACCTTTGTTAAAAAGGTGACTCTTTTCTTTTTCAAAAAAGAAGCCCACTATGTTCTTCTGACTCACAGACAATTAAAACTTTGGTGAAATACAATAAAACCCTTTCTTTAAAGATGCCCAGATTATCTAAGCCCTAGGAGGAATCTCTCATCAGGCAAGCAAGTCCAAAACCTTCAAACAGGTTCTCATACTCAAAGGCCCCAGGGCACAATGTGTGAGGAAGGTGGAGTGCTGCCGCCGAAGGGGACAGGTGAGATGGGAGGTTGTGTCCCACGTGAAACGGGTGGCCCGTCCTCAGACCGCTGCTGCCACGTGGGAATGCAAACTTTCATTTCCAAATCTGATTTTCCAAAAGAAGCGGGAAATCTGGACTTTTGTATGAAATTTGCACAGTTTAAAATGCTGGTAACAATTAAAACCAAAAAGCACCCCTGTGTTTGAGCCAAAAAATAAAAACAAGAAGTGACTTGGATGACTTTTTTCTTCCTCTTGCCCAACTCAGAGCCTGTCTCCTTGAAGAGGATCAGCCAAAAGAGGATGACATCTTCCAGGCCCCAGGCTCCCTGAGGCCACACCTCTGGATATCTGGTCTCCTGTTTCACCTCTGATCCACTCAGCTTCCTGCTCCCTGCTGCCCCTAACCCTGGGAGTATCTCTTTGGTCCCTAGAGACTCAACATCCAGCGCAGTCAACCCCAACAGCTGGATGGCTTTGGGCCGCACGCAGACTGTCCCGAGCAAGCCCTGTTCTCCCCTCTGGGCTCAAGGGAAGCCAGTGGCCAACACTGGCAGGCCACCCAGATCTGCCTGGGCAGAGCTGTAGAGTGGGCCCACTGGGGCCAGGTGTAGTGTTACATACCTGTAACCCCACCACCTTGGGAGGCTGAGGCAGGAGGATTGCAAGTTCCAGCCCAGTCTGGGCAACTTAAGTGACTGAGACCCTATCTCAAATTAAAAATTAAATAAAAAGGGCTGAGTATGTAGGTCAGTGCAAAGGCAGTGACTTCAACACCCAGCATCCAAAAAAAAAAAAAAAAAAGAGAGAGAGAGAGAAAGAAAAGAACAGAACAGGCTTAGTGGCCCTAGCACATTTCCTAATTTGGGGAGAGTTCTGTTTCTGACACAGGAAAAGGAAATAGGATCTTAGGAGGGAGCTGAGTCCACAAAAGAGTACCAGAGAGAGAGTAAAAATTGAAACAGGGCAACCTGAAGACAGAAGAGTTAGGTATGGCCTTAACTTGTGCTTTCCTCCTATTTGCACATGTCTTGGAGCCATGGATGTTTCAAATGCTCAGTGAACATGCATCCTGGGGTTAATCAAATCGGGGGAATTCTGTGTCACAGACCTCAGACCTCTCAGAGACTCCCAGTATATATTTGCATCCTAAAAGTTCTGAGAGCTCCTATAATTAAAAAGAAAATGCAACTTTAACTCACTGCTTCTCGAACTTATTCAACTCAGAAGCCCCTTCTTTGTAACACCAGCGTTCAGGACTCTCACTCAGAGAATGGTGTCTGTCTCCTCCCCGGCCTGTCCGTGGGAGCGGCTGTGCCTGGCCAAAGCCAGGCTGTGGCCACAGTGCAGCAGATGGGAACTGGCGGGCCTTCCCTGACAGCCCGGGGCCTGTTCCAGGGCCCTGGGAGGAGCCGCTGGAGCACCGCCTGGATGGGAACCTGCCCTTCCCTACTCAGTGGTCACCACCCTGAGAGCCATCGAACATGCATTAAATGTCTTAGCACGTGCCAGGGCTTTCCCAAAAATTATTTTATTTTCCTTCCCAGACCCCCCGCCCCAGCTTAGAGGGAGAAGTCCCACTCAACTTTAGAGAAGGAACCAAATCTCATAGCAGTGAGGGGACTTGCCCATAGCAGCACCCCACCCTCTTTCATGGGGGGAGACACATCGGTCTCCTTTTCTCTATGGAGCCCCAACCCACCAAAGTCATTTAATAGGTATTTTATGAGATTCTTGGGTTGAACCCTAGAAATTGTGACTTCATAGGTCTGGGGTGGGGTTCAGCCATGTGTATTTCAGGGAAGTTCTTCAGTGATTGTGATAAATAGCCAGTTTGGGAAAGAACTGTTTCAGTGACTACTCAGGGAACCCTTGCTTGGGGGCAGAGGAGAATCTGATACTGGCTCAGTTCTCATTTGACCTGTTTGTCCCAATGATCCCCCTTTAGTAGGAAGCGCTCCTCAGGAAGGACTCAGGCATCGTACATCTTCCTGTCTGCTCCGAATTAAGGGAAAGGGTACCAGATGGGTCAGGATGACTGTGAAGTTGCCAGAAGAAAGAGAAGAGTTGTCATAGCCCTAGATGGCACATGCCAGAGACAAGGTCAGCCTGGCTACCCTGGACCAGAATGGGCCCCCATCAGCCAAAGCCAACTCTTCACTCTGGCCTCATTTCTGAGGTGAGGCCTGCCTGGACCCCCACTGCTCTCCTGGCAGCCCAGAGTCCCTGCCCACAGCCTCACAAGACAGCCGAGGCAGCTGAGGCAGCCGGGGCTGAGGAGGGCTTGGGCCTGAGGCTGCCTGTAGCTGTCTCCCTTCACTGCAGAACAAGTTTCTGGAGATGAGCACATTTCTGCCTCAGGAAGTTCTTGGCTGTGTATGGGGAGAAGAGAGTCTGGGCTGCAGTCCTGGGGTATACAGTGAGGGCAGGGCGGGAGCCTGCGGGCAGGGCACAGCTTCTCCCATGGTTTCTTTGTGGTTTCTGGGGCCAGGGAAAGGGAGCCACCTACCTCTTCTCATTTCCCATCTTGGCCTCTCCAGGACCTGACTGCATGCTGGGGTGGGGGTGGGGGTGAGGAGAGGTGGCTGCTCTCCTCTCTGGCTGGCCCACGCTCCCTGAAGGGCTGCCGACAGCTGCTACAGTCCCCCTTCCGTCATACCACGCCTCTCCCTCCCACGATGCTCCCATCCATGTACTCACCTTGTCGATGACCCCGACCACCCGGCAGCCCCGCAGCTGCTCCAGGGCAGAGCTCAGTGTGCGGATGGGCCGAAGCCGTAGGCTGCTGAAACCCTGCAGAGGGAGACAGGGCCACAGGCAGCCTCAGGCCCAAGCCCTTCTCCGCCCCGGCTGCCTTGTGGGACGGTGGGCAAGGGCTCTGAGCTGCCAGGAGAGCAGAGGGGGTCCAGGCAGGCCTCGCTTCAGACGTGAGACCAGAGTGAGGAGTTGGCGTTAGCTGGTGGGGGCCCACACTGGTCTAGGGCAGCCCAGGCTGTCTCTATGCTCAGACTCCACCCAGCCCCCAAGACCCAGAAAGCTCTCGGGGCTTCAGAAGCCCCCTCTCAAAAGCCCCATCTGCAGGTGCCACACTGTTCCTAGGATGAGGGGTGGGAAATGTGGGCTCGGGGAACATGCCTAGGACATCGAGCTGCCTGCTTCTGGGAAAGGCAGCCTACGAGACAGTGCCAGCCCAGGGCATGTGCAGGGCACGTGTGTGAGCCTGCACATGCTGGGAAGTGTGTGTACACGTGCCCACTGGGTTAGGAAAAGCCACTTGGGAAGGTCCTGGGCACACACGTACACATGCATTCCTGGGCATACGGGTGCTCCAAATGCTTGCGGCCAGCCCATTCCTAACAGGAGCAGGGTCAGAGGCTGTCAGTGAGTGTGTGCACAAGTTGTGAGCACCTGACTAACCGGGCAGGAGCCTCGTTGGGGGCGGTGTAAGTGTACAGGTGGGCAGAACAGAATGAGGCTGAACTCTGAGGCCGAACTGGGGATGATTCAGTGGGGTGTCTGAGAATGAGCTGTGAGGGCGCAGGAGAGGGAGGACCCCGAAGACAATAGCCAATTTAGCTCTCCACTACCACCAGGTAAGGGCCCTGTAGGGTAGGGAGGGTGCTTGGTGCTCTCCCTTCACAGTCCTCCTCCTCCTTCAGCCAGGAGGGTACCCTCACCGTGTCAGGGCTGGATCCGCTACCCAGACTCCGCTGCAGGTGGCAATTGAAGATCTCCTCGGCTCGCCGCAGGTACTTGGTAATCTTCAGCTTTACCGCCTCACGCCGCTCCTTGTTGGGGTCAACTGTGGGGGATGAAGGTCACCAAGGCCCACCCTGCCCCAACCCTGACCTTGGCAGAGGGCTGAGCTGCCAGCTCCCATCACCCACCCTCTGCCCTCCACAGCAGATGAGCCCCGTTTCTGAGGCTGCTTCAGCAGATTCTGTCCCCAAACCCTGCTCTGCGTGGGAGACTGGCAGAGGAAGAAGAAAGATGGCGAGAGACGTCTGGGAGCCATGGTCACCCCTCAGCTAGCTGCACTTTACAGTTGGTAGCCATCACCTTGCTGAACACCTCTGACCCTGGTGTCATGTCTAGGAGTCGACAGCTCGTCACTCCATGTCATGCCATCGGGAAGGGGCACAGCAGGGATGTCCATGTCGTTTCTTTTTTTAGAAGAGGAGATAGAAGCTTCCAGACAGCATTGCTTCCTCCATCTGAGATGCCAGTGCAAAAAAGGCCAGGGTGGAGACCAGATCAGAGGACAAAGGAATTCACCGCACAGGCCTGTGGCCCACACTTGGAGGGATCTCTTCCGCAGGTGCGTAGGAGGAGTAAGTCAGGTCGACTCCTACTCACAGCCTGGCCACAAGGCCCTCAGGGTCTCACACTGGCCTTAGAGCTGCCTCTCCCCCAGTTTGTCAATGCCTCACTCTGCCCGAACAGGCCTCCCTCTTCCTCTGGACCTTGGCAGCCTCCCCCTCTCTCTGGAACACAGCCGGGCCCTCCACTGGACAATCCACCCTCTGTTCTCCAGCACACATGTAAATTTCCACTTCCAGAAAATGTCCCATGCTGCCCCAACCTGGCCTCAGTTTCCCTCTTCCCTTCTTTCATCCCCTCCTCATTGCTCTTCCCACCGGGGACTATAATTGGTCATTATCAACTTATCAGTCACCCACCTAACCCTGTGCCATCAACTAGAATGCAAATTCCCAGGGGACAGAGCCCAGCCCAGGCTGGGGACAGTCGAATATAGTAGGTCCCAGCAGCCAAAGCTGCCAAAGCTATTCCAACCCCTGCTGTACCCCTGCTAGCTGTGGAGCTTTGGGCAAGCTATTTAACTGGCCCAGACCTCTGTTTTTCCATCTGGAAAATGAGTATTTAAAAGAAGGTTCCTGGGCTGGGGATGTAGCTCAGTGTAGCAAGGATGACCTTGCCTCGAAAGTGCAAGGTCCTGAGTTTGATCCCTGGTACTAAAAAATAAAAAAAAAAATTTAAAGTAAAATTTTTTAAAAAGTTCCTGCTGGGCATAGTGGCACACACCTGTAGTCCCAGCACTCAGGAGGCTGAAGCAGGAGGATCACTTGACCCCAGGAGTTCCAGCTCAGCCTGGGCAACAAAGTGAGACCCTGGCTCAAAAAAATTTTTTTTATATTCTTGTAACTATATGAAACAACAATGATTTCTATTATTGTGAGGCTCAATGCCTGGAGCTGCTTAATAAATGCTAGTTATCATTGCCCATGGAGGCCCTGCTGCTAGCATACTGGTCCCCACCAGTATGGATGGGCAGAGGACACCACTGGCAAACGACTTTTGGGCAAGCCCTACAGTGGCCTTTTCCCAGCTGTCCCAGCCCTGGCCCTCACCGTGTACACCGCGGAGCAGCACGTCCACACCATTCTGGTAGTGGTTGAAGGCTGCCTCATAGTCCTCGCTAACATCACGCTCCAGGGCCAGCCGGATCTGTGTGGCCGCATCCACCAGGTAGTCACACTTGGTCATGTCAGGTGCTCCTGTAGCCACCCGGCTGCGAATCTGCTCCAGGTAAACACAGGCCTGGGATCGTGGTCGTGAGCAGGGCTCGGGCTCCAGGCCTGGGCTAGGCAGGCATTCACAGGCTACCAGGCTCATGGCTTCCCTGTGGCTGGGGTCTGGAACAAGCAAATGCATTAGGGAGGACCCAGCTGGGAGCCCCACCTCTGCCTGCACCCCGGTTGCCTCCACAGAACGTTGGGAGACTGACATTCACCTCCAAAGCCTGGAGGACTGAAAGCCCATGTGGTTAGGTCCATTCAGTGAGCCAGGTCCTTCCTAAGGCAGAATGACCAAATAACACAGGGTAGGGCTGTTTTCCTTTCCATTCAAATTCAGTTTAACAAGTATTTCTTGCGCACACCCTACATACTGGGCACTGGAGAGCAAGGAGATCTGTGATCCGGGACAAACCCCGTGTCTAGCACAGGTCGGGGAATGGAGGCCACACTCTGGGCTCAGAGGCTGCTCCTCAGATTGTCCTCCTCCTTCCGGTTTCTCTCTCCCTGTTCCTCCGGTGGGAACTTGGCTTATTTATCTTTCGGGTTCAGCCCAGTGGCACTTCTCCCAGAACAAGATGGATTGTCCCTGCTTTGTTTTGTTCCCCTTGGTCCTGAGGTCAGCATGGTCAGTGAGTAAGGACCCCATCCCCCAACGCGCCGCTGGCACAGAACTGGGCCTTCACGCACCTGAGCAGAAGAGGCTGCAACTGGCACAGTCAGCACCACCTTAGGTAGAGTCAGATTAAGGAGAGCAGGGTGACCCAGCCCTCTCGTGGGGGAGGGCTCCGTCCTCCCTCAGCAGAATGTGACACAGAGGACCAAAGATAACAGCAGTGGCTGTGAAGAGGAAGGGGCTCGCACCTCATGGCGGCCTCAGAGCCAGCCACTGGGGAGGGGCCGGCCAAGGCCTCCGTGAGCGAGGCACGAGCAGAGGGAAGGAGAGTGGGGAGGAGACCGCATCCCAAGACAGCGCAGAGCTGAGCAACCGCCAGGACGCAGCCAGCAGGTGGAGGGAGCCGGCCCTCCCTGCTCGGGTTAACCCAAGAGGACACGAGCTCCGAGGCCTGTGCTCGAACGCACCTTGGCCCAACTCGGCTGGTTTCTGCGGTCAGAGGCCCGGGTCCCGGCTAGGACTCCGAAAGCCGCGCGTGCAGCCTCCAGTGCCCCGCACTCAAGGTGCACTGTCCCGTGGGAGAACGGTCAGCGCAGGCCGGGCTGGGGCCGGGAGAGGAGAGGGCTCCTCACCTGGGAAGATGGAGGAGGAACCGAGCAAACACCGTCCTCACCACAGCCTGGAGCTCAGCGCACCGGCCAGACCTCGCCGGCAGCCACCGCCCGGAGGGGTAGCGTGCTCCGCAGACTGCCGCCTTCGCCCACTGGACAGGGGCGGGGCCCGGCACCGGAAAGCCCTACCATTGGTTGAGGATGAGGTCATCATACCCCGTTAGAATAAACCACCAATCACCGCCCGGCTCGGCTTCTACCCGACTCTTAAAGCTGCAGAATCAGCGCTGCGGTGTGCTGCGGTGTGCTGCGGGCGGGGGTGGGAGGCTGGAGCGCAGGAGGTGGGTGAGGGGTGCAGGGGTGAGATGGGTGGGGATGGAGGTAGGTTGAGGTGAGGTCGGCCATGGTGGCAAGAGGCAGTCTATTGTCACCCAGGGATGAGAGGGGCTATTTCGGAAACCGAGGCCGACTGACCAGCACCGGTGGCAATTATAGGACCTTTCTCAACTCTATGATTACAGTTCTGCCCAAGAGCCCAGGTGTTGAGATGAGAAGAGCTAAACATTAGAGTACACGTTTGGTTTCCCTGTGGTCGGCGTTGTGAGGGAGGAGTGTGACCTAGTCTGGGTCAGGAGACCTTCTGGAGGAAGCATTCTCTGAACCGAGTTTACAGTACAAGAGCACAGGCCCCACGTGCATGCCCGAAGCAGCCAGCCAGAAGGACCCGTGCTGTCCGGCTCTACTGCGCTTGCGTGCCCCTGGACCCCTTCCGTGCCGTCTCCCTCCGGCTGGGTGCATCCTCCCTGCCGATTGATTCAGAGCTCCCCTTTCTCCTTGCTACCGGGAGACTGGAGCACACGCGCCACCTGCTCTCCCTTCTTTCCACAGATGACCTGGTGTACGCAGTCTTGCACTTGGGCCTCAGTCCTGTCCCTTCACCTGCACACAGACCCCACTCCACCACGTCCTCTCTTTCCTACGTTAAGTTTTGGTTCTCACTGGACTGGTCCCATCGGATGCAAACATAATATACTTTTGTCCTTCGTTAAAGGCAGCGAAAATGGCAGGTGATGGGGCATGCACATGCGGTCCCATCTGCTCCTGCTCGTGTGCTGAACATTACATGTGGGGGCAAACTAGGTTTTTGTTTTTTTGGCTTTTCTTTCAGTGAGGATTAAACCTAGGGCCTGTGCTGAGCTACAAACTCAGTCCTTCTTTTCTTTTCTTTTTTTTTTTTTTTTTTTTTTTTTTTTTCT